TCGAAGCCGACTTCACCCATTTTCCTCGAAATTCGTCATTCAGAAAGAAGGTGAATTTATCCAACGATTTCAGAATTACCTTTAGTCTTAGTGCTTAATATGATCGACAGGGTTTTGGGTCGCTAGACTTTTTCGTTTCTCGCAACGGTGAACTCTTTGCTGCAAGAGACCCAGGCTCTCATCTCATCATTCGAGGACCTGGAATTTTCGCCGCAAAGTTTTACCCCCCGAAGCCGCTTTCTGTAGTGACCCACACCCTGATTTGTATATCGAGGCTGTGGCATTTGTGACGTATTTCTAGCTAGCCACTAACGTTTAATTTGTATTTGCTGACTTTTTTTAAAAATTTCCTGAACTAGTATACGTGAGTACAATAGGCGTGTGGGTCGTTAGGACAGACAACAACTTCATGTTTTGCAGCTACAATTTTTTGCGGCAAAAAGGAAAAATTGTTTTCCCTTCTTGCTACACAAATCTATGAAGTAGCCTTTGCGAGAGTGAGAGGTAGCTTACATGTGAGAATCGTTACTGATAAGAACCTAATCCTTCATATCTTCCTTTTCTATAAGATCCTTTCTCACCCTAGCGTTAGTCCTACGCAGTCGCCAAATCCGCTGTCTTTACCACCCGTCGCCACTTCGCTCTGTCCAGGGCATCTTCTGCTGTGGCCGTGATTTCCTTAGTCCTTCTTGACACGTCCTTCCACCTCTTCTTTGGGGCTCCTCGCGGTCGCTTGCCTTGCGATTCGAAGTCCATCGCTTCCTCTACAGGGTGATCTGTGACCTCCGTGGCACGTGACGCGCTCTTTTTCTCTAGATGTAATGACCTTTTATTCGTTGAGTTATTGCTTTGTCTCCTGTTTCCTTACATCTTGCTCGTCAAGCTTTCTGTCGGTGCATTGCCATACAGGTCGAGTCTGTACATAATTTTAGTACTGGGTTCATGAATCGAACGAACATCACACTGGTATTGTTTTTTGTAATCACTTCATTATATAAACCAGAACTTTGGTGTGTCGGTTTGTCGTGTGTGTGTGTGTGTCGTTCTGTCCGTCCGGACCAACCGCTCACAAAACCAGGGAGTACGAAGGGCAACACTTCGAGATGTTGATGTCATGATCATGATAATACCCACAGCGGCTATATAAACACCGATCGAGCACACTCAGTGGCCGATGTCAGACTTTGCGATTGGAGCGATTGTGCACAAATTGCAGGAGCGACGGATCGCTTGAGCGATCCATCGCTGCGAGCGACGGGAGATTTACATGGCCGACCAACGATAATTCGGCGCCATCAGCTCGTAAATGTCCCGTCGCTCGCAGCTCCCTGCCACAACGGCCAAGGCACTTATCACGGCCCGAGCGATGGATCGCTGAGCGATCCATCGCTCGGACCATCTGGACCGTATGCTGAATGTTGGGGAGGAGGATGGGGTCCCCGACCCGCGATGCTGAATGTTGGAGAGGGGTTGGGGACCGCAGCAGAGTTTCGTCGCAGGACCCACCGGTCATTAGCCAATCCTTTAACTTTGTTGCTTTACCTTCGTCCTTCCACTATTTTAGATTACAGATTGGTTCACGTACATCTTCTTCTTCTTATTCTTTAGCGTCTGTCCCGCTTGTAGGCGGGGTCCGCTTTTCTGATGTGTTGACGCCACTTTTCCCGATTAAATGCTTGATCGGGGTGGATGTTAACGACTTCAAGTCTCGTGCAACGTATCGAGCCATCGCTGCTTCGGGCGTCCCCTAGGCCGCTTTCCGGGCACGTCAAGGTTGAGACCGATCTTACGGACACTGTCATCTTTCGCGCGAAGGACATGACCATACCATCGAAGACGGGCTTCGCGCATCTTGTCGACAATTGGAGCCACCCCGAATCGCTCTGACATCGTTTCGAATGTGGTCTACTCGTGTGACTCCGGCTGTCCAGCAGCATCTTGGTCTCCATCACACTGAGACGGCTTCGATCTCTTTAGTCGTAGGCCAGCACTCAGCACCGTAAATCGCGACCGGCCGGATGACGGTTCCTATAGATCTTAGATTTGAGACGTTCTGGCATGTTCTTATCGCAGAGAACGCCAGTCATCGAGCGCCATTTCGACCAGGCTGCATTCACGCGAGAATTCGTTTCAAGACCAGGCTGCCGTCAGACGCGATTGCTGATCCAAGATACTTGAATGATGTTGTACGTGTGAGCTCAGTACCATTGATCTTAATAGAGCCTGGCTCACTCGGATCGGTGGTCAAGTACTCAGTCTTTTTGACGTTCAGCTTCCGAACATAGCTAGACGGTCGGACCAGGCTTGCACCTGTTGCTCGAGCGTGCTTTTATCTTCGCTAGCGAGCATCACGTCATCAGCATAAAGAAGTGTCCATGGAGCCGGCTTCTGGAGATCTCTCGTAATGGCATCCATGACGACAACAAATAGGAGTGGGGATAACGCAGAGCCTTGATGTACCCCGACAGAGATGGGAAAATCCATCGATGTTCCTGCTGCCGTTTGCACTCGGCTCTTTGGACTCGAGTAAAGGATGCGCACCCACTCAATAAGCTCTTCAGGAACGCCATGCTGTCGTAAGGCATACCATATAACGTCACGCGGAACGCGGTCGAAAGCCTTCTCCAAGTCTAGGAAGGCAAGATGCACCGGTCTTTGTTTCTCGCGATGCTTTTCTAGCAGAAGGCGAGCGGCGTGTATGGCATCGATGGTGCTGCAACTAGCCACAAAACCACACTGGTTGGTGGTCAGCTCGACGATGTCCCGGATACGGCTATCTACAATTCGCTCAAAGATTTTCATGCTGTGCGAGAGCAGGCGAATTGGACGGTAGCTAGTGCAGTCTCCAGGACTGCCCTTCTTCTTCCAGATAGGAATCGTCGTGCTCTGTTGCCAGCTCTCAGGCACCTTCTTCTCTGCAACGATCTGGTTGAAGAACTCCGTCAACCATTCTGCAGGATTCCAGCATTTTGATTTCCACAAGTCCGCCGCTAAGTCGTCAGGACCAGTTGCTTTGCCTGATTTCATCTTCTTCATGGCCGTGATGGTCTCCTCCACGGTTATCTTCTGAACGGGACCGTGTACTGGCGGAGCGCAGGGGATGGCGGGATGAGTAAATTCGACTGTTGAGATGTTTTCGAAGTAGTCACGCCATCGCTTCAGTGTTTTCTTGCGGTCCGTCAAGAGGTGGCCATTCTCGTCATTTATGCCGAAGAACTTTTCTATATCCTCGGTCTGGCGATGGCGGGTCTTTGCAAGTCGGTAAACGTACCGCTCACCATCGCGCGACTCGAGTTTCTTACTGATATCAGCAAAATGAGCTGCTTTCGCGGAAGCAACGGCCTTCTTTGCCTCTTTCTTCGCTATCTGATAGCTCCGCCAGTTCTCAGCTGTCTTTTCGTGAAGAAATGCGTGGTACCGCTTCTTCTTTTCGCGCACTTTCTCTCTGACCTGGTCCGTCCACAGCCACGTTTGCTTGTCAATTCTCCGCCGTCCAGGCTTCGTCATGCCGAGCTCGGATCGAGCAATCCGAGTTATTTCTTCGGCAGCACCTTTCCAGTTTCGTCGACAGTCGTTACCGCTGGTAATCGAATGCGGGAAACGACGGCCGCTTCTTTTTCCTTCAGTCGCCACCACTTGATTCTCGCTGGCCCACACCTTTCGGTTAGTTTCGGTTTCGGCGGGGCGATCTTTAGCGTACAAATCAGTGGTCGGTGTTGCGTGGCGACCGTTTCATAAGGCACTGTTTTCGCGTCTGTTACGAGCCCTTGATCGCGGCGCCTGACAAGTACGAAATCAATTTGTGTTCTGGTTTACCGCTATAGAAGGTGATGAGATGTGAGTCACGTTTTCGGAATTTCGTGTTCACAATGGCGAGGTTGTGCGAGTCTGCATACTCAAGAATTCGCTCGCCATCAGTGTTACGTGACCCATATCCAAAACCACCATGACAGCTGTAACCGTCTTTCGTAGCCCCAATAACTTCGTATAAT